TAGATATATTTTTGTACTATATATTTATATAATTTAAATTGCTCAATTACTATAAATTCACTTGTAGCACTTTGTCACTTTCTCTAATCACAATTAAATTGTTTTAAATATTAAACAAAAATATTTTTTATTTTTATCATTTTATTACATAAATATCAGTCCCGATTATTTTATTTTTAGCGCTCGCACTTTTCAGTATTGTGTTTGGCTGTCTCATAATTCTTTTTCCGCCGTGAACCGTAAATTATGCATTTTAAATGTTAGCACAGCTCTTGCTTTTTGCAATCAACAAGTAAATGCAAAAAGATAAAATCAAATATCATAAATTAAAATTATGGTTCACTGACAACGACGACGACGATTGCCTACGCRAAGCTCCAATGTTATTGCCGAACTGGCCAAGCAAAATTTTGAAACTATTAGCGAATTTTTAAAAACAGCATCACGATCACGACATGGACCACTGCGACTACGACGACGACGTCGACGTCGACGAGTCGCTCGTCGCGGGCATTCATAAGGCGCACGGTCGGCCATAATTTGGGTGTTTGTCTGTTATTTTTGCCGCATTTGCCGCCAGTTGTTGGCTACAAACTAAAATATAACGAATACGACAAAATAATTTGCAATATGTTCGGCCTGTATTTTGACAGCTCACCTCCTCTCGCTCGCTGGCTGGCTCTCTTTCTCTCTCTATCTCCCATCACTCTATCCCGTTCCTCTCTCACTCGCTCGGCTAACCAGACGGAATTTTCATAGATACAAACATACATACTGCATATACATATATACATAAGTGGGAATGTACATATGTATCTACATTTGTTATTGTTTGTTTTCACATTTACTATCATTTCCATCGCACGCTCTCTGGACTGTAAACATGCAGACTCAACACACTCACACATACACACGTCGAATTTGTTTTTTTCGCATCTCTGTAACAATTTTCATTTCGCTTTCAAGCCCATTGACTAGCGAAAGTGCTCTATGTGCAATAAAATAAAAATATACATATTTATGTATACATTTATACATAAATTTTCTCATTGCTCGTCTGCCATTATTTTGTTACTCTACTTAGCAAGTCGAATGGCAAAGCTAAATATTTTTGAATACTTTTGCCTACGTTGGCTTATTCATTAGTGTGGTCAAGAAGTGACATTCCGTTGTCCATGTCCAGCACTCACATTAGTTATTTATAGAGTCACGGGCATTGTAACAAGTCAATGTCGCACAATTCACAAATGTTTTCATCATTTATTTATAAATACACAGAAATACATATGTTGCGCTTGACTTGTGACACTTTCTATGCAATTGTATTGATGAGCATATCCATAAACCAGACAATGCCCATCGTTCATTTAATGTATTTTTGTACACAAAAAATTACCTTAATTTTAATTAACCGTTCGAAAGCTCTTATATACTAAATTCAAACTACGTGTTTGTCGTTATGAAGTGTGTTCGAAAAATCAATATATATCAGACGATATCTATTGGTCTGCCGCCACAATTTATCGAAAATGAAGTCGGTGGGTGTGCAGTGCTGTAAAACGTTTGGACAAAGTTGTGTTTAATATCAATTCAAACGCTAATATATGTTGAATGCATAACTCAATAATATAATTTAATATCTTGTGATTTTAAAAACAATATAATGAAATCAAATATATGTATAAATTTAAGATTTTCCTACGTAAACACATGTAGCTCAGGTATCGGCAGAGCAGGTGGTTGTTCGTGCGTTACTTATGCAGTAGAGTTTGACTGGGCTTCACGCCATTAGAATCTTTGGCAGCCCTGGTATCTGCACTCTCCCGGCTTAAATGTCACAGCGCGTACTTAATTTTTGTGAATTGCTAAATAATGAGTTAATTCAATAGACATTTATCAATAAGATAAACAGCAATCATTTAAATCAATTGCAACAATTTTGGGTAAGTTAAAAATCAAACATTATTGTATATAAACGCATATTTCGCCTGTGTCGCGTTCCATATTAAAAACAGCTGTTCCCCTCGTCAGAGCTGCCATCTTGCGGTCTGAAAAAATCAAGTGCTTATGTTAATTGCGTCTTGCAAGGCAACTCTGGTAGTGATGGTGCTCTTCTTTGTGTTATTATTGTAGACAAAGCCAAAATAAAATTAAAAATTGCCAACTATATTGCTGTTTGCCCATTGAAAGTGGAGTGCAAATCTGGACTTAGTCCAAGAGAATAGCGCGTAAAGACTCTGCAAATTGTAATTGGTGAAAAATCTAATGCGCGCTGTTGATTGGCGTCGCTCCAAATTTACCAAATTAATTGTTGAGCCGCAGACGGAGTTGGACATCATGGACGACGAAGCTATTGTTACTGTGGAAAAAGAGTTGGATCGCGTTGTGAGCAAGTTGGAGCAGCTGCATGAGATTGCGTCTGCCGAAATCGGAGATGTTGCTTCGCTCATGTCGGAGTTGGTTAATGTATTGGGCAATGCAGGTCAAATGCTGGTCACCACGCTCAATACAGGCACACAAATGAACGCGCCTGGCACTGGAAGCACTGACGATCCCATGGACGACACTGTGAACATGCAGGTGGAGACAGAACCAGCCGCTCCGCAGCGTCTCACTGAAAGTCAGATGGAGATAATCAGAGAAGCCATATCCAAGTGCAATGTTCGCGTGCAGAAGCTGTCGACGGAGCATCGCGACTCCCATGGCTCTGTTTCAAAGATTGGCAAGGCCATCGATCGCAACTTCAGCTCTGACTTCAGCTCGACGATGCGCGTGGACGCGCTGCAGGACGAGGACAACTTAATGCTACTAAATAAGGCCATTGCCAAGCACTACTGCCGCCAAGGCATGGACGACGTGGCTCGCACACTGATCAAGGAGTGCAAAATGAGCGACAGCGATGCCCAGGATGTGTTCGACTCGGAGCGTGAGTTTGCCGAGATATACAACATCTGGAAACAGATCCAAAAGCGAGATCTTACCGAAGCCCTCGTGTGGGCTGTTCGCCACTCAAGTCAGCTGCTCGAGCGGCACTCGCTCATCGAGTTCAGGCTGCATCGCATGCGATTCATGCAGCTGGTCTCCTATGGCCTGGAGTCCCAGCACGAAGCCATCCTGTATGCTCGGAACAATTTCCAGAAGTTTGCCGTGCGCTACGAGCACGACATTGCCAATTTGATGGCCAGCTTTATCTATCTGCCCGGTGGCCTGGAGAAGACGCCCTACAAGATCTTCTTGGCCCAGGAAATGTGGACCGAACTATCGTTCACATTCCTCAAGGACGCTTGCCAGCTGCTGGGCATTAGCATAAACTCTGCCCTCTCAGTGGTCGTGAACGCGGGCTGCACCGCGCTGCCCGCCCTGCTGAATATCAAGCAAGTGATGCAATCACGCCAGGTGCTGACCATGTGGAATGGCTGCGACGAGTTGCCCATTGAGATAGACCTGCAGCCCGAGTTCCGGTTTCATTCGATCTTCGCCTGCCCGATCCTGCGCCAGCAGACCACTGAGGACAATCCACCGAAGAAGCTGACATGCGGCCATGTCATCTCGAACGACGCCTTGCACAAGCTCAGCAACGGGCACATTCTGAAGTGTCCCTATTGCCCGGTCGAACAGAATGCCGAGGAGGCTGTTCGTATTTACTTTTAATTGTAGAACCTATCTTATAAAGCAATTAATCATAATAACATATATACTATGTAATTGAATTTGAGCCTGCCTGTTGACGCGCTTAGAGCGGTTCGAGCGTGGACACTGATGCGGAGCACCAGGAAGGACGAAATGGCGAGTGGCTGACCTGAACCGGGGGACGGATCACACTGGGTTACTGATGTTGAATGTTTGGGCAGCTTTTTCCTTAAATGTTATTTGCGATTGTCAGCTCATCTAGATATGTTCTTTAGCTAAATTGGTGAGGCGGATTCGAACTACTTGGAGTCGCGCAACTTGAATGAGAGTAATAATCCTAACCAGCCCATTTAAAACCCATTAGCTCTTAGTAATATACATACATAATAAATAAACATTTATCTCTAATACAGCATTGTTGTTTATTGCTTCATTACTGGACTCTACGGATCAATAAAATGGTCATATTTATTTGACTAGTGAAAATTAAAAAAAAATTATTAAATTTAAAAATAAATATAAAAGATTATCATTTAGTTTTGCGAAAAATAATTTTGCGCCATCCTAATAGATGCTTTAGCCATATAAATTTAGAGGAAACAAAATACATATAAAATTGGAAATTTAACTAATTACAATTTGTTTTCAAAGAATTCACTCTCAATAATTAATTAAAGTTTCCATCAATATAAAACTCTCTTGTAGGTCATGTATTGTGTTTTACCTTCTATCAATATTATTTTTTTATATTTTTTATAAGCTTACATTTTATTATTATTTTCTATATCAATATTTTTTTTCGAATCCCAATAATTGCATCGATATAGCCCATTCGTCATCATGCTTATTTTTTCATTTCTAGGACTCAATAATCAAATCAATATAATTTATGTCCTATTTATGGAAAATATAGAGATTGATCTGAATCCCTATATCAAAGATTTATCATTATCAAATATTATGAAACCTAATTTCTTTAAAATATTTTACTTTACCAAAAACAAGCACATGTTAGCAGTCAAATATTCATATCCCATAGAAACTTCCAGGCAATTCGTGAATTTCGCCCACTGTGCGCTCGGTGGGTCAACAGTGGCCAGCGTCGAACCGGTTTCGGAGTCGATCGTGTCGCAAACACGCTCTCAAATTTTCATCGGCTTTGTTTGGTCTGCCTTCCGTCTCCGTCTGCAGTGCATTTTAGCAATCGCTGGCAGACGGCAGACAGCTGATCTGAGGCAACCACACGCACTGTCTGCAATCGTATCATACTAAATTGTGGTCTGCTTCTGTCTTTTTGGCTTTTAGTTGTTTGCTAGAGTGGCCAACGAAACTCGAATACGCAGAGACGAGCTCGCCTACAGCTTTTGGCCGGTCGCAGAGATTGATCACTGAAATAATACTACGGATTGTGTAAAATGAAAAACGTCTTGGATGTGATGTCGTTGCAGCAGCACGTGGAGACGAGCAAGACACAGAATATGAAACCCATTGATTATCGGTGAGTCGCTCGTCTGCCAACAACTCCAATTGCAGACATGAAACGCTTGGCGATAATCACATGTATTCATTATATACACACCTTTCAGGAAGTCCACCAAACCTGGTCTGGTGCCTCTCTACATTTTCGAGTGCGCGGCGAAGCTAAAGATGAAGCCGCTGACAGCCGCCTGCGCCGCCATCGTTTACCATCGCTTCTTCAAGGAGGTCAAAGCAAGTGACTACGACGAGTTCGTGAGTGTTCAATGGAATCCTTTTCGCAGTCGGAATTTATAATTGTGTTTCATATACAGCTAATAGCCGCCTCCTCGCTCTACTTGGCTGGCAAAATCAAAGACGACGACGCTGTCAAAATCCGCGATGTTATCAACGTGGCATACTGCACACTGAACCGCGACAGTGCTCCGCTGGACCTGAACGACGAGTACTGGGCCATGCGCGATGCCATCGTTCAGGCCGAGCTGCTGATAACACGCACCCTCAGTTTTGATCTGAACATCGAGCTGGCACACAAGGTAAGCCTGGAGTCCCCTGCTGAAGCAGCCATTTAAGCATGTGCTTTCTCTTTTTGGCGGCCGTGCAGTACCTGCTGTACTACATGAAGACACTGCAGGATTGGGTGGGCACGGACATATGGAACTCTGTGCCGATTGCCAAGACAGCCGCCTCGTACCTGCAGGACTTTCACCACAGCCCTAACATATTGAAATACAAGCCCACCCACGTGGCCATCGGCTGTCTATCCCTGGCCCTGCAAACATATGGCGTGCAGGTGCCGCTGACCGACGAGTCGGACGAGGCTTCCATGTGGTATAAGCCGCTCGTTAAGGACTTTACTCGAGAGAAACAGTGGGAAATTATCGAAGACGTCATTGAAGTGTACAAGCATGAGGCATCCCTCATGGCCAACTGAACCTACATCATCATCATTTTCACCAAGAACTGGCTGTTCGATATCCACTCGCCATTCCCATACGATTTATTTATTTGCATTAAAAAAAAAAAGAGAAAAGTACTTGAATTACTGAATATATGAAGATTTAATTACAAAGAATTCTGGAAAACTTTAATGACGATGTTTGTGCTTGTGCTTGTCCGACCGATGACGCCCCGGCGATGCGCTGCGTCGATTCGAGCGTGAGCTATACGATGATGCTGGCGACGGAGATCTACGCGATGTGCGACTTGAACGCTCTGAGTAGCGCTTGGGCGAGTCTGATTGGCTTCGGGAGCGATTGCGCTTGGTAGATCTGGAGCTGCGACTGCTCTCGCCTCCACTCAGTGGGGAGTGGGAGCGCTTGCGACTGCCGCGTGGGTTGGGACTGGAGCGAGAGTTGCTACTGTAGTAAGAGCTGGGCACATGTCGGGGATCAGGACTCTCACTGCGCTGCATGCTCTTTGATTTTGCGTGTATGTAGCTCAACGGCGAGTCGACAGAATTCGTAGGAGAGTTCTATGGATGACAATATTTTGAATTATATAAGTGAGAATAGCTTAGATAAGCATGCCAGGCGTCTTATTAGTTAACTCACCCGCTTGAGCAAACGCTTGCGATAGTATTCAACCTGTTCGGGCATTGAATAGCCAGGTTCCAGTCGTCTCTTTCCCGACTCTAGCTCATCTTGATACTGCATAACTTTGACTTCGATTTCGCGCAGCTTTTGCCGCTTTTCATCATTGAATTTGCTTGAGCTATCTCCATCACTGTCCTCATCAGAGCTGAAGAATTTCGGCGGATCTGGTGGATCGAGAGTGTCCCATTTGCTAGTGGTTATTGCCTGCGCCTCAACTTGTTGTGGGTCAACCGTTTCCCACTTGGATGGTATAAAACCGGGCATTTTGGCTTGCGACTTCGTGTCTGAGGATTTTCGTATTTGGTCCAGTGGCACACCATCCAGATCATCATCCACTGAAAGTATTTTAACTATTATTATATATGCCATGGCATATATATTATGACAGATACTTACAGGGCACGCCATCGATCTCGTCGTGATATTGTTCCCGCTTGGGCGTGTCTCGCTGTTGTGTAGCTACCGCTGATTCCGGTAGAACAAGTTTCAGAGCGCTCTTTAACAAAGCCGCACCATCAAGCGGCACACCATCCAAATCCTCATCGTCCTTATCTTCTCCTGAAAGTGGAGCACCGTCAATGTCCTCATCCAAAGCCTCTTCGGAGCGAGATTCTTCAGCTTGGGCTGGTGAAGTGGCCTGCAATGGAAACTACGTTTGCCCTGTTTATAATCTAACATTATGAGTCACTGCCTGAAATGCATACCTGACGGCCCAGGAATATGGCGTGCAATTGTGATAAGAAATCCTTTGGGTAAATTGTCCACTCCTCCCAGGTGCGTATGACATTGCAGACTCTCGTTTTGAAGCCCTCTGCCTTCAGACGACTCTCTATGGCCAAATAATAGCTATGTAGACTCTCGAAAATGTCCACCAATTGCTTTTCCACGCTGTAAACGATCCAATTAGTCAGGATTATGTTTTCCCTTTGTTAACATCAACTTACGATTTGCGGAAGAAGGAGGCATTCGATACCTTCACGGTGCAGTTGTGCAATATATCAGAGATGAGATACAGCCGCGCAATCTTCTTGGAAGCCAGGGTCTTTTGGTTCGATAACGATTCGGCAATGCACTCGCAAATCTCGTCAGCTGCATCAGCATGTTCAATGCAAAATATCATCGCATCTCCGATTCGTGCACGCTCTGGTGTTAAATGTCGTATGAGATCTTCTAGACGATCGCGTTGTCTGCGGAATTCGATGCGAAGTATAAATAAACCACTATAAATTAGTTACAAATAACATTATTTACGCGTTCGATAAGGCGCCCTTGTGCACGACGGGGGCATCGGGATCAACAACCAGCTCATCGGGCATGCCTTGCGTGTAGAAATTTGCAACAGGAGGCTTCCATACTGGCCCATCTTTGAACATACGGAACTGCTGCTCTCGCCACTCGCTGGGCGTGTCGCCCTGCAGCAGTGAGAACAGCTTCCAGCGATAGTAAATGTGCGCCGGACTCTCGTTGTCAAAGAGAAACGAAAAGAGCGGATTTTCCATTTCACGGCTCATAATCAAGGCTTCGAACATGGGTCCCTCACGAATGACAAACTCGATCATGCGATGTATAATATTCAGCACAGATCTAAAATTGAGAAAATTCAATATAATCAAATCTAATATTACTTTTTAATGAAATCATACTTCTCAGTCGGTATAAAGACTTTTACAACGGACTTGCTTAGAACCTGCGGGTAAAATAAATATTGTTATTTAATTATTCTGATGGACAGTGTATATGACTTACTCTCTCCATATTCTCCTTGTCCTCAATGGTATCATAGTCCTTGTAGTTCTTCTTGGGCAATGTATTCGCCTCGCTAGGTGGCGGCTGAGCATTAAAAGGCAACCCCGACGGCGGTGGCGGCAACGTGAGCTCGAGTAGGGCCTGCGGCGCAAAGATGGGCGTATTCATAATGGGCACTGTCTTGCCCCAGCCCAGGCGCATTTCATAGCCCATTATGTAGCGGCCATTCAGAGTCCTCAGCGCGCGCTCAGCATCTTTTCGACTCATGTACGCCACAAATCCACAATTGCGGCCACGCTGCTTCTCTTCCTCAGAGCGTGGCCACATGATCTTAATGCTTGCCAGTGGACCATAGCGACCAAAAATTTCCATTAATTGTTGTTCGGAGATCTTCGGATTCAGGTTGCCCAAATAGAGATTCGTTGTATTCGGATCACCGGTGTCAAACGAACCGCCCGCATCTCGAGAATTGGTCGACTGAGACTGAGAAGTGCTCGGAGCTTGCACCTGTTGCTGTGGCTGCTGCGCCACTGGGGCACTCGCCACCGCCATATGCTTGTACTTGTGCCGCTCCTCACGCTCTTCCTGTATTCTGCGAAAGATATAAGGGAACGGTTAACCAAGTTATTAACTGAATAGTCCGTCATCTTACTGTCTCAATTCCTCCTTGAACAGCTCTAAATTGCTCTTTTTCTTCTCCTGATTCTTCTTTTTGAGAGGTGTGGGATCTTTCTTAAGATCAGATGCCAGAAGTTTTGCGTAATCCTCTGCCTTTTCAGATGCGCTCTTTTCAACCAGCTTGGATCCCGGTTTGTACAGCTTGCCTTTCTCACTTTTGTCCTCTCGCCTGGAGCCCGCATCGTATGTACCGGCCTTTACCCACACTTTTGATGAGGCCGTTGGCGCTTCTTGAAAGGTCTCAACAAACTCTTTAAACGCCTGAGCATAAACAAAAGACAACAATTACAGTACGCTTCTATCATTAAATCGCTTTTACTCACGTGAGCCGCAGCCGCTTCATCTTCCTTCTTTTTCTGCTCCTCCAATTCCTTTTTAGACTGTAAAATCAAAAGTTTAATAAAAGCCACACAAAATTGGTCTTGGACCTTACCAATTGCCGCTTGGAAAATGTACCGACCGTAAAGGCCTCAAGCTTTTTCTCGCTGATGCGCTAAAATAAACGAAACGTAAAATACTTGGAAATGGAATACCTCTTGTATTATTTTTACCTTCATACTGCTGAGATCTCTTTCAATTTATCACTTTAACGCATCTACTTTTTATAACTCAATTTTCCTCTTCTCTCTAATTTAATCGATTTCAATTCTTAATGCCGATATCGATATATCATACAAATTGGCAGCTGGAGATTTTTAAATATGCATGTCATGCATAAACCGATAATCAGTGAAGTACGACCTCAAATAACTTTCAAACCTTAAATTACTAATACAACAACGGCTATATCTAAAATTTATGTACAACATTTCAATAACAAATTTTAATAATTGAATTAATCAAAGACTTTATACTTTAAAATTCCGTTTTAGAATACTCACAATCAGTATTCGAACTGCCCTAAAATACATAACATATTCATATATAAAACAAATTTAATCAATTATTGGTTTGGTAGCGCCACTCAAGAGTTTTGCAAGACTATTGAATTTGAAAATTGTACTAATTAGTTAAATTATAATTATTTTAATAATCGTTATATTGAATATCGCCCCATAGTCACGTTAAGTATCGATAAATTGATACGATATCAACATCCCTAATCACAATTAACTTAATAAATTTTGTACAACAAAATATACGGTGGTCGCTTGCTGCCAGCGTACACGCACAGATCTCAATCGCTTGGCGCAGCGTGAAGAGCCTTACTGGGATTTTTTAAAATGGAACCACAAATTTGTAGGCTATGCTTGCGGGGTTGTGGTTCCCAGATGTGCCTCCAAATCTTTAACAGTGAAGCAGGTGATGCAGGTGTCGAAGGTAACGTCCCAAATGTTGCGGAAGTTCTACGGCAACACTTTTGGTTTGAGGTAATCCAAATTGATTATTCACATTGAAATTTGTGCATAGTCAAAGGCGTCTGTCTCTTATAGGTTTCACCGAACGATGCAATATCAAAAGTCGTGTGCAATGTGTGCTGGACACAGGTGTCTGAGTTCCATCAGTTCTATGTATCGATACAAGAGGCTCAGCTTATTTTTGCCAATGCCCCGAAATTCAAACAGGATCCTGATCCGGATATGATGAACACGTCATGGCCAGAGGAAGTTATGATGCCGGCTGAAGAGCTTACAGTGGATGGGGATACAAATAATGACTGTACTAGCACACAGGTCAACATAAACCCTTTGGATGGACTTGACCTGGAGATGGCAACGTATGTGCACGTTGGTACCGACAGCAAGCCGGAAATCAAATTGGAAAGGCTGACGCCCGACGAATTCATGAACCAATTGGACGATGTGGACATTATTGTTACACGAAGTGGTCGAAAGCGAAAACGTGATACCGAAACGATTGATAAAGAGCGAAGAGCCAAAGAAAAAAGGTCAGCGCAATCCAAAGGCCATGAGAAGCGTAAGACAACCGCAAAGCGGACGTTCAAGAAACAGCAGTGGCCTCCATTCTGCAAAGAGGACGAAGACTTGATAAAACGCTATGTCGTAATGGGCTGTGAGCTGTGTATTTTCCTGGCGGATGATTTCGACGGCATTCGAGATCACTTCAAGGATAAGCACCCAGACGAACGGCCATATGTGAAATGCTGTGGGCGAAAGCTAAACAAACGTTGTCTAATCGTGGAGCATGCAAGACGCCACGAGAATCCTGAATATATTAAGTAAATTAATCTATAGAGAATTTAACAAATATATTTCTGTATGATAATCTCCTTGAACTTTTGCAGGTGCAACGACTGCGGCAAGGTATTTGCCAATTCGAGCGTGTTACGCGCCCATTGGCTGGTGCACCATGTGCCCGACGAGGAATGCGACTTCCAGTGCGAGGAGTGCGGCAAGCGGTTCTCCCGGCGCAATCTCCTTGAATTGCACAAGGGCTCGCATGTGCCAGCCAACGAGCGCAAGTTCATCTGCCCCGAGTGCCCCAAGCATAATGCGTAAGTAAAGAGAGAAAAGAGATTAATTATTCAACACTTCAACTTATTAAATTTCAATCAATAGCTTTGCCACCGAGTACCACATGCAGGTGCACATTAGCATGCAGCACCGAAAGGCGGCGAATGTGTGCCATGTGTGTGGTAAGGAGATCAAGGATAAGGCTGTCTTCGAGAAGCACGTCCGCCTGCACTTCGAGGAGAGCGGGCCACGTATTAAGTGCCCACGGCCCGACTGCGAGAGCTGGCTGAAGGATGAGGACAACTTAAAGCAGCATTTGAGGCGCCACAATGATGAGGGTAAAACCTTCATCTGCTCCGAGTGCGGCAAGAGTTGCAAGAACTCTCGCGCTCTTATTGGTCACAAACGTTATTCGCACTCAAATACAATCTACACCTGCGAGCAGTGTGGCAAAACCTTTAAAAAAGATATTAGCCTTAAGGTTTGTAATGAACACTATATATTTGAGTATATATGCAATATTATATTCCAATTTCAGGAGCACATGGCTCAGCACACTGGAGAACCCTTGTATAAATGCCCGTTCTGTCCCCGAACATTCAACTCAAATGCGAATATGCACTCCCATAAGAAGCGAATGCATCCCAATGAATGGGATCACTGGCGTAAAACAAAGACGGGCAGCTCCCAAAAGGTGCTTCCCAGTGCTCAAGTCTCGCAAATGTTCAGAGAAGATACTGAAACGTTCGCCATTCCGAATATTTCGAATGTGTTTTAAAAGAGCTAGCAGACTTTTCCTATACTGTTGTATATATATTACTTCTCTTGAGTGTATAAATATGTATGTATATATGCATATAAATGTTTAAAGAACCAATGATTACAAATGTAATAAAACGAAATAGTAAAATACTTTAATGAATTTTATTTTTCAAAAGTATATAGTTTATTGAAAAATTATAGCTTCTAAAGCTCAAATATTCCTTCAAATCTGCGTTAACTGATAAAAATCTGTGCTGCCAACTATTTCCAAAAGGTATCTTATCGTCAATCGATAATATCGATAATTTTTACTTTACAATACTCAAAATACCTATCGAACCATCGTGTACAATGTTCCAGCACTGATAGCTCTTAACACAAACAGCTACGTCAACAACATTAAAATGAATGTAAGTTTAATTGTTTTGCAACTAAATAAAGATTATGTTTGAAGGAATTTTAAATTTAATTACTTTAAAATGTATGATTGTTATGATTATATATATGATTATATTTAAATATTAGGAGTCGGAAATACCAATTGACATTCATACGTTGAAGCTCCAGGATTGGCTTGTGAGCAGGCGTATTGTTCCGAAAAATATTCAAGCCGCGCTCAAGGACATACACTCAAAGATCAGCAATGCTCTGCAAGACATGCCCGCCAATGATCAGTTGATCAAATTGTTATCTGGTTCAAGTAGGTGTATCAATATTATCCATGGAATTTAATTATCCATACTTAAAAGTTATGTCCTTTGCCTTATTGCAGATATAAACTATTTGCACGTCAAGGAGATAATCGAAATACTCAAGCAAACTGAAAAGGATACCAAAAGCGTCTTTGGCACCTATGGCAGTCAGCGCATGAAAGACTGGCAGGAAGTTTGCCGTCTGTATGAGAAGAACGCCACGTACCTCGCGGAGACTGCGCAGATATATGTGCGCAATGTAAACTACGAAATACCTGGAGTACGAAAGCAGATGCTCAAACTTGAGCAGCAAATTGATGAGTCCTTGAAGCGCGCCCACGACCTCAATAAGCCAGAGGCACAGCTGCTCGCAGAGCATGCCGCCTTGCTGGAACAGTTGGGCGTAAAGGGCGAGAACTTGCATTCGGAATTCATTGAAGTGCTGGCAGGACTACCGGATCTGTACGCCAAGTCCTTGCAGGACATTGGTAGAGTGCAAGCAGGCATCGATTTATATGCCCAATTCAGTGGACAGCAACAATGTTTGCCCATTCTGCGTCATTTGGTGGAGCATGGAAACACTACAGTCTATCAGTACATTCACAAGGAAGCACCTCTGGCCATTGAGGAACCAGAGCTGCGTCTCAACTTCAGCGGCTCGAATTCGAGCAAAGAAACCGAGGGCAATGAAATTGACTTTGGTACTGACGACAATGGAGGAACATCCTCGACAGTCTCAGCGGAAATGATTGACTATGGCGACTTCCAGGAAACCGACGGCGCCAACATAGATTGGGGCATTGAAAGTGCGCCAACAAATGCCGTCGAGATCAACTTTGACATACCTGTCGAGGAGTACGGCATTGTGGTTGAGGGCACCGGCATGGATGGTGGCACAGCTAAAGGTCTGCATGGAGAATTGACTATTCAAATCACATTCTATAAATTTCCAATATTGCAGGTGATCAGGCCTACACGCTGCTGGACTCGCCCAACTATCGGGATCGTTTTCTGGACGAGATACACGAGCTGGAGGCATTTTTGCGTATGCGCCTCTATGAGCTGAACCACTTGGATTCGTCCAGTAACATTATGTTCTCACTGATGGACAACATCTCGACCCACGACAGCGAGAGCATTACCAAAATATTAAGCGATGTTGAGAAGATCATACAAAAGACCTCGGATGAGCAGACGCGTCACCTCTTCCAACTGAAACACTCACCCAAATATGCCGATTTGCTGACCAGCAAACTGCAGCAGATGACGAAAGCCGTGGAGAAGCTACGCACGACTCGCGAGGTGCTGAAGCAGCGTGCCGTCGAGCTGCGCGAGCAGCGCCAGCAATTGAATCCAGTCTTGGACGAACTGATAGCACAGACCCGAGCGTTACAGACCTATATTGAAAAGGATATTTCCAAGCGTTACAAGAATCGCGTTGTGAATCTAATTGGCGGCGTAAATTAGATGTGTGGCCATAAATGTTTCTGTACAGTTTTGAATAGGGTATATGTTTGTGAAGCTATGGAAAAGTGCAAATAAAATGTTGAAAATTAAATTTTTGTAATTAGGAGCGTTGCTGACATTATGACATATAAGTATATGAATATATACGGTATTTACTGACTTCTATCTAGAAGATTATCTATCAACCTCTGAGGTTATCAAGAGCAGGCGATTGACTACGTTTATGTGTGGTGGTTGAAACATAATATAAGAAATATTTAAAAAAAACATTTTGTTTTTGACTGCTGTGAGTCCGTTACAAAAAGTCTTCCTATTATATATAAAAATAGATACAAATTTTGGTTGACTTTCTTTTAATATAAAATTCTAATCTGTTAGTAAAATTATTCGTATTAAATTTACATACACTAGATCTTTAAATAAAGACAGCATATATATTGATCAATAAAAAATTCAAATTTTTGAATATTTTTTAAAAGAATTTTATTTATTTTTATTTTGCTATTTTATTAAATATACAAATTTTATTTATATTTTTGTGTGTTTTAATTTGTTTTTGTTTTGTTTTCTTTTTTGTTGGTTTGCTTATTTTTGTATCCAGAATACAAATCTAATTTAATGTAGTTGTTGTTGGTTGCTTGTTTGTTTGTTTGTTCATAAAAGTAGCCTTACACTTGTATTGTTTTAAACTTTCACTTATGTAATGTTTGCTGCTTAGCTGAATTGCATACACAATTTGTAAACAAACGAACAACGCTATAAACTAATACGATTAACTTAAGGGGGGAGGGTTCGAATAGGGGGTGGTTAAGGAAATACATACATACAAACTAAACATGTTCCTTTCGCTTTTGTATTTAGTAAGGAGATTTGTGTGTGGATGGTAGGGTGAGGCTTACGATTTATACAGATGCTGATTGATCAATGTGGTTTGTTTTAAACGGGTTCGACGACAGACGGGTTGCCATTAATTAAGTAATTAATCAATTAATTACAGGAGTTTGGGTGTAAAAAGCCACAAAATGGATATACATACACGATACCAACTAGACTTAGGCACTAATCTAACAAAAAAATGTGGGCTCAATCGGCATTTTGGGTCATGTAAATAAAATCAAATATATTTGCATGTTATAARTGTATGTATGTATATAGCTATATATAATCATTGATTTTTCAACTAAATAGAAAATAACAAGCACTATCGAAATTAAAATATATATATATATATATAGATTTGTATATTATATTAGTTGACGGCAAAGGGCCTCATGATATGGTTTGAACAACTTTTCTGTTATCTGTTCTCTGCTTCTCGGCTCTGGCCTAGGCCTATCCTTATTGTGATGCAGGCCCAAAACTCTTTCGAATCAATCTACAATCTTTCATATTTTTAAGGTTCTGCATTTATATATATACATATATATAAGGTTGCTCTGATTTTATATTAACGTACGTATTTCTGTTCTCAATTAAGTTAAACTAGCATAAATTATGTTGCAAAAATTTGTTCGAAGGTTTGTTGTTTCTGTTCATCTTGTTTTTGTTGTGGTCTGGTGTTATGATGGTGTTGTTGATACTTCCTTACAGGCTACATATTACATCGTTTACGTAAATATTTATAGTGTTTATTTCTCTTTGTTTGTTGTTGTTGTTTTCCTTACTCGCTACTATGTATATATGTATTTATACGTCTGTAGTCATGTTCTTGTTAATCTTCCTTCAATTATATACTTGATTTTATCTTGGTGCTGTTTGTGTGAGTGTGTGTGTGCTATGTGTGTGTGTGTGGATGTGTTTCCTGTTTTGATTTCAATTTATTTGTATACACGTGTCTGATAGCGTCGGTCGGATTAGTTATACTGAGCATCGGCGAGGCCCAGTCTTCGAGCTATTTTACTCGACCTATATCATAACACTCCATAAACTAAATATATATTTATATTTATAGAGTTCGCCTTCTGTTAAACCTTATCTAGATAGAATCATCATCTGGCACGCTCTCAACGTGCAGACTAAACAAATGTGAATGCTTTTCAATGAAAAACATCGCCTCTCTTGGCGCTTAAACTTGCTGCTGATGCTGGCCACCAGTGCGTGTGATTATGATTATGATTATGATTATGCGCGTAGTGGTGGGGCTGCTGGTGGTGCCCTGGGGCACCACCCAGCGCCGGCTACTTTGGTTGTCAATCGTTCTTCACTGGATAGTAGATCAGATCGGGCTGCTGCTGCATATGATGCATGTAGTCATTGATCGGCGGCAGCACGGACTTTGAATCGTCGCCCAGCATCGGATAGCCCACACCTACGCCGACGCCCACGCCCACGCCAATCGGCGGTGCCGTCCGCTCATAGACGCTGCCATGCGGCGGAGGCGGGGGCAGCAAGTGCGCAGTGCCCGCCAGCGAGTGCAGCGGCTGTTGCAGCCCATGCGGATGACCCGGATGGCCGTGGTATGGCTGAAAGCTGTTGTGCTTCTGCTGATCGCTGACCAGCTGGTCGCTGAGCGCGCTGTGGTTGTGATGCTGTTCGTAGGAGACGCCGACGCCGCCGCCGCCGTAAACGTTGCCCGGGCCGCCATGCCGCATAAGGCCACCGCCATAGGGGCCGCCCGCATTATGATGCTGCTGCGTCGGCTGCTGTTGCTGCTGTTGTTGCGACTGCTGTGATTGCTGCTGCTGCTGTTGTTGCTGCTGCTGAGACGTCTGCTGCTGCATCATATCAAAGTTGTACTCCATAGGCGTGGGATTCGTATCGATGAGATTCGTGAGAATACTGCCAATGTTGTTGTAATTGTGAGCATCTCCCGGTCCAATTTGATTCGACTGCGACTGCGGCGTCGGCGGTTGCTGCTGCTGCTGTTGTTGTTGTTGCTGCTGTTGCTGCTGCTGCGGCTGCACCTGCTGTGGCCACATATGCTGGAAGCCCAATAAGTCGCCAGCCAATGCTGGGTCTTGTGGTTGCTGTTGCTGCTGCTGTGGTGGTGGCTGTTGCTGCTGTTGCGGCTTGTTGACGCCCACGGCTGATTGTTGCTGCTGGGCAGACGACGCCGGAGCACCAACGCCCATTGGAAGCCCGAGAAACTCTGTTGAGTCGACAATGTAGAACTTGTTGTCCTTGAGCTCGACTGGCTGGCTGTTTGGTGGGCCGCCAAAGCCCATATTGCCCCAGGATTCATTCGCCTGTTGCTGTTGTTGTTGCTGCTGCTGCTGTTGCTGTTGTTGCTGCATGAATTGCTGCTGTGTTGCGGATGCAGCAGCTGATGGCGATGGCTGGGGCTGCGGCGATTGCAGGCGCGAGTGCTGATGCTGCGGCGAATGGGTGTGGCGATGCTGTTGTAGTATCAGCTGGTGCTGGTGGTGCATCGGGGGCATGTGGTGCGGCGAGGTGAAATGCTGCTGCTGCTGCTGTTGCATCTGCTGCRCTTGGAGTGGATGTGGATGCGAGTGCGGATGTGGATGTGGATGTGGACTCTGAGGCGTATGGCTACGCATATGCTGCTGCTGCTGTTGCTGCTGCGGCGGCACCTGTGGCTGCTGCGGCTGTTGTTGCTGCTGCTGCTGTTGATATTGGTTTAGCAACTGATGCGGATAGCCACCAGTCGGATTGCCGGGATTGGGCTCAAAGTGAAACTGACTCTCCGGCCCACCAAAACTGTTCATGCGCTGCATATGCATCTCCGGCGTTGCATTGTTCGGCGTATGCGGCGTATGGCGATGATGCGGTGGCGCCTGCTGCTGTGGCGGCGGCACCGATTGCTGCTGCTGCTGCGAGGGCGGCGGCGTCGCTGCAGCGTGCTGTTGATGTTGTTGATGCAGCGCATTCTGCTGCTGCTGTTGCGTTGGTGGTGGCTGTTGCTGCTGCTGTTGTTGCTGCTGCTGCTGCTGCTGTTGCTGTTGTTGTTGTTGTTGCTGCAACTTGTCCACATTAAAGCTCTGATTGTACATGGAATTCTGTTGAGATTCGCTCGTAGAGACCGAGTGCTGCGACGTGGATGCCGTCGAGGACTGCGAACTATTGCTGCTCACAATGGCATTGAATTGATCCTGCTGCGAGCAGCCCGGCGTTGTCGATAAGGGTGGTGGCGGCGTGGGCGTAGCACTCGCACTAGCCACCTTGCCAGCACCCGGCWGCATCTGCATCTGCTGTTGTTGTTGTTGCTGCACTGCGGCTACGCCCGCCTGTGACTTGGCCTTGCTGACCGCTGACTTTTTGCTTGCCTTCACCGGCGGCGGTCCTGGCATATCAGGCAGCGAAGCCATATCTAGAAGAGATTACCAAAAATTATTACAGTTAACCTAGCTGTGGAATAAAGGAGCGCTCACCTTCTTCGTTAGCTTTGGGGAAACGCTGTTTGCCCTTCTTAGGCGGCGGCGGCTGATTGCCATGCATCGTCTGCTTGTGGCGCACCAAGTGAGTTTTCCACTTGAAGGTCTGCAGAGCAAAAGAATTTGGGATTTAATACACTCAAACAAATATGTATATATCTTATATATCAACTCTACCTGATCGCAGTGGTTGCAGCAGTGCGGTCGCTCCTCCGAGTGTGATGGCAAATGGCGCTGCAGGGATTTGGCGGAGCCGAATCGCTTGCCGCAGAGCGTGCACTTGCACTCGGAGACATCGACGTGGGCGTTGCTGTAGTGCTCCTTGAGCGCAGGATATGTAAAGTAGGAGGAGCCGCACAGGTCGCACACATAGGTGCGCTTCACCTCGGTGTGCAGCTGCACGTGCCGCTCCAGATTGGCCTTGAGCGTGAAGCGGTTATGGCAAATGTGGCACTCGAAGAAATTATCTCGCTTATGCACGCGTATTATATGCTGATACAGAGCATTCTTGGAGGGGAACTCGGCGCCGCACACCTCACAGATGGCACCGTCGGCCTTGTGGCCGGTATCTTCAAAGTGCTGCTGCATCTTCTTCTGGGACAGCTTCAGGCCGCACTCGCCGCACGGAAAGGCTGCAATAGAGCAGCAAAAATCTAGATTAGTTTTACATTTAACATAACCCATTTAATAATATATTGAAATGCCGTTTGACTGGCTTTTGGCAGACATCGCTGGCCTTGGTGAAATTTACATTCACGTCGACTCACTT